GGCCATCACGGCCGGCCAACAGCGCAAACGAAGCGGCGGAGGAGCAGTGCGAAGCTGCATGCGTGACGTCAGCTACCTGTCGGATCAGGCCTACTGGCACTACACGATTGCCCAGTCCCTCATCTACCTGACCATGTTTCTCCTCTTGACCGTCATCTACGCGACCATCTTCCTTTTCGTCCGCCGCCGGCAAATGCTGATGAACGTGAAGTACACCTACCCAACCGGCTTTGCGACACGGGTGTCTGAGAGGGTCGGCCTCCTCCACAGCACTGCCGGAGACGAAGAGGACGAGGCTGATGAGCTCATCCTGCCCGACATGCCCGTGGGCAAGGCCGACAATCCTCTGGACGACGGCGTAAATGGTACCACGTCTGAGGGTGTCAGTGAGTCGGTGAAACAAGTCGGCGAAGAGGCGACAGATACAGACTGGCCCGGCAAACGTCTGACTGGCCTGCCAGTCCACAAAGTCACGGTTGATGAGCCAACAGCCGATCTTGGCCTCGGTTTGAGGCAAATGAATGAGTTGAGGGCCAATTCACAAGAAGCCAGTCCCGAGATCTCGACCGGCAGTCAAACGGCCATCGGTGCTATTCGACAGCCGGACAATCGCCGACAATCTCAAACTGTGCGGCCAGCCGAAGGAACATCATCAATCGTCACCATGGTCACCATCACTGGACCTCATGAGTCAACGGGTGCCAAGAAGCTGCAGACAGAAGAGACGATTCGGCTCAAGATGTTCAGCTCTCCAGCCAGACCAGTTGAGCCGATCGCGAAGTCAAGCACTGACCAATTGGCTGTGCAGACGACGACGTCTCGACCGAAACGATCGCTTGATCGTGTAAACCAGCAACCCATTTCGACATCCGAAGCCTCCTCTCCTGTTTACCCTGCCGGCTATACTGGCTCTGTTTATCCGGCATTTTGTTATTGTTATTGTGACCCTCGCGGATGCTGTCCGGCCGAAGGCCACGATACTGGCGGATGGCAGTTGCGATGGCGTTGGCGTTGGTTCTGGATTCGCAGTGATCCCGGAGATCTGGCAAGCGAAGCCGAGGCAGAGACGGAGTCATGGAGTCGACAAAGAATCGGCCTGACCGCCACCGAGTCTGCCATCAGCAGTCTACAGACAAGTCAAGCCGCCAGTGCCAACACGTGCACCACTGACGGTGATCGTGTCGCTGTGAGCCAAGCTGACGCCAGAGCCGGGCTGGAAGCGGTAACCAAGGCCCAAATGATGGGCAATGCAGGCACTAGTGACACCCTCGATCAGCAGGACGATGAATTTCTGCTGCGGCCCGATGCAGATGGTCCGTTGGTCTGGAATGCGCTCTTGCAGCCCGGCAAACCGGGCGATATCTCGACATCCGGGACGGGAGAGGAGGGGATTTGCGCTCGTGGACTGATCGCTGCCGCCAGACTGCAGGAGCGCCGCCGACGACCATACATCCGGACAGCACAGACTCTGGTCGCCATCACAATCTGCTTCATCCTCTCATATCTGCCCTTTCTGGTGCAGGGCCTCCTCAGACCGCATGTTCGACCACCGATGCCCTACGGGACCAGCATCTACGGCGAGTCTAGTCACTTCTCGCTCTATCTCTATTTCCTTAATTCCGTGGTCAATCCGATCATCTACTCCTGCATGAATCAACACTTTCAGGCCAGAATATGTGGCCTAGGACGCTCTTTAGCAGCAGCATTATCGCCCAGTCGAAAGAGAGGAAGAGGCAATCATGCCAACGAGCATGGTGGTGCTCGGAAATGTCGAAGACACCTTCGTGGGAGGCGAAAATGTCCGGACAGAAGTATTGCAGCGACCACATGTTGCATGAGCACTCCGGCGGCAGACGAAACTGTCGGACCGACAGTCAGCTCGCAAAACTGGTCGTATTGTTCATCCAAACAGCTTTACAATGCTGACAAAAATGAACACATAATCAGCTCATATCTAGCAGACCAAAACCAATACCAGACGTTGGTTAGCATAGCCACTGACAGGCTGACCGAAGATGCAAAATGTGGTACAACAGGCGAGTCGGAGCCACCAGAATGGCCCGGTTTATGCAACAAAAACGAAGAGGAAGCATCGACTTTGACGTTTAGCGAGGCTCGAATCAAGGTTTGTGTCCCCGAAAGAGGCCGAAGCGTTCGGTAAAGAGACGACAGGTGAGGCACAAACCGAAAGATCGAACGTCTGTCGATAAGCAGATAGGCCCAGGCTAGAGTAACGATGCAGCCACAGAAGAGTCGGTATCCCTTAAACAAAATCCAATTCATTTCAGACCGAAACGCCTGCCTCCATCAGCATCAAGCTAACCCAGTACAGGCAATCAGACCTCGAGACTCAGCCTTGCCCGTAAAGGCTTGACCAACCATGCAAGACCCATTCCAAAAGCCTTTCACACCATCTTCAATTCTCCGGTGAAATTAAACTTTGGCAATTTTCATCATAAAGCTTTCCTGGAGCGTTGTGATTTCTATTCAACACAGGCTATTTTCCTAAAGTGCCGAGTGAATACAAACTAAGCCGATTGTAGGAAGTAAAGTATTGTTGTTTCCTTTTTCAAATAATCCAAAGAGAACAGGATAGACGCGACAATAACAGAAATCCGTTTGAAGACAGGCAAAGGGAGGTTACGCACCATCCTGGAAATAGGAGCTTTGCAACCACGAGGCCCAATATTTTCCTTTGTTTCACTTTATTTTGTTTTACTCCTGCTCAATCACAATTCACCAGATCGCAAGAGTCAGCAAAAAAGGGTTGTTGTTGCTACAAGTTTTTTGAGCGAGCAAAAATGTAAGTCAAATCGACTTTAGCAAAACCACAGTGTGTATTTGACCCCACTAATTTTTTTTTGTGAATGGAAACCTACCGACAAGTCATTCTGAAGAATACACACAAAGGTTGGACAGACGATTAAAAGCCCAGGCTCTTGCAGATTTAATCGTATGTGGAGACTCCTTATTATCTAAGGGCTGCCTTAAAGTATCAATTGTACTAACAGGAGAGAGCCAGTATCATCAGATGAAAGCAAAAATCGGAAAGCAACCGACTGTGTCCAACTGGAAATCGAAGCAAATAATAAAAATGGGAAGAC